ATGCTATACGAAGTTATTACGAGCTCCCGCGCCGCCGCCGCCTCGGTCCCGCCGCGCCCCGCCACCTGGGCGCCTGCCTGGCTCTTCCAGAGGCCGACCTGTGGGCACAGGGCAGCAGGGGGACAGGCGATGAGCACCCTGTGCCAGATGTACGACAAGAACTCCGACCACGACAGCGACCACCATTTCCGCGCATCCAGAAACTCCTTAGCAAAGCAATCGAGCACGTTTTATTGGGCGCACTGCAAGGGCCCGGTGTGTCTGAACTCATTTAATCCTAGAAATATCACTTATCAGGCAGGAGCTCTACTTATCCCCCTTCTCTGTGGATGTTGGAAACGGAGAGACAAAGCCCATAATCTGTTCTGTGCATGGTACCAGTGATTCCCAAACTTCAAGACTCTTCTTCTGTGCCCACCTCCTGTCTTGGTAGCATTCAACCTGCAGAGGCTCCGCTCTAAGCACCTCCAGCTGGCATCTGCAGCCCTCCCCAGGCTCTGCTCAGTAGGTGGTTGGTTCCTTGAAGGTGAGGTCTTTGTCTAGTTTACTGTTGTATTCCCAAGCCTACAACAGGCCTAGCACACAGGAGGTGCTCAATAAATACCGAGAATGAATGATCCTGGATGATATTTTCAGCCCATGTCCCAGGACTCCCTGTTCACTCCTTGCGATTCCACATCATGGGAGCACTTTCCCACCTCCACCCTTGGCTTAGGGGGTGCCTCTTGCCATCTGCCCTTCCCCATACATGGCCACTGAAAACCACACCTTGCCACTCCTCTGCACTCTGTAGCACTCTCTCTGCTGCTGAGAGCCAGGTTGACTGGACTGAGTGGAGGCGATATCGGAGGAGAGGGTCTGGGAAGGCCCACTAGCCGGCCTCAACCCACCCTACCCTCTGGTAAGTTCTTGACTCTGCCACAGGAAAGAATTCAAGGACAGAGTCACAGTACAAAGTGAAAACAGGTTTAACGTAATGGTTAACAAGTATAGGCTTCACAGGGAAAGTGCAGCCTAGCTCTGGAGACTGAGCAGGGTCTGCACCAAGTTTAATACAAAAGTAAGAAATGCACAGTTAAAGCTTAGTACAAAGTGTAGGCTGGCTCAAGAGAGTGAGCAGCTGCCCCTTAGAAATAAGCTTAACACAAAAGTAAAGTATACACAGGAGCTGCAGGTGGGCTCCAGGACAGGGAGCAACCAACCAAGGCAAGTTTGATACAAAAGTAAGAAAACCAAATTTATAGACAAAGAGCGGCTGGCCCCAGAGTGAAGAGTAGCCTGCTAAAGGCAAGTTTGATACAAAAAAGAAAAAAAATACACACCTCAGGCGAAGTGCAGGCTGACTATAGAGTGAGCAGCCAGCACCGCCTTCTAGCAGGACTCCACTTTTATAGTTTACCTAATACATACTCATACTATCTAATGAATATTTAACTGGGGGGTGGCTTCCTGTTGTGTATGGTAGTCTTGCACATGCTCAGTCGGTCTCTTTTAGAGACCACTCATTGATAGAATTCCAAAATACCCACTTGAAAACACCTAGAATATTCAGTGCTCTCCAGTGTCTCTAGTGGAAGGTCATTCAAAGGATAACCTCCCCTCTACTGAGCATGCTTGGCTACTAGGGTTATATAACCCCTCTCTACTGAGCATGACCAGCCACTGGATTTGCATAAGTCAGCTCCCTAAGGTCTCAATTTCCCCGCGTTGGTGCCAAAAATGGGTCCAACAAGCAACAGTATCTCTTCTTCGGGGGAAGGCATAGAGGAGGGACTTGAGACCTTGGGGAGTGGGTTGAAACTCAGAGGAATGACTTAAGCAGCTGTCCCTCTACTTCATTAAGCAGGGAGCTCCTTAAGGGTGGGAATAGGGCCGCCTTCACACCTCTTTCTCCTAAACCTCCCAGACGCCTGGCACAAAGGAGAGCAAAAGGAGCTTGTTGAATAACTGAATATGTGAGACTACCTAGAAAGGTTTAATTCCTGGGTTAGAAGGGGCAAGATGGGATTGGAGTTGGCAAGAATGGTTGCCCACGACTGGGGTTTGGGGGGTTGGAATGGGAGACAAGAGTAGAAATGGGGATTGGAGTGGACCTGCATGGGAGAGGGACAAGATGCAGGCAGGCTGAAACGGTGGGCTGGGACAGGGCTGCCCTCTATCTCCCCTTCCTCTTCCTCCGGGGCTCCGGGCAGCCAGCCGGCTGTTCACCGTGCCCCTCTGCGCATCACTACCTGCCCCCACCCCTGAAGATGCCGCGCCGCGCGCACCTGCAGCGCTAGGCAGCGAGCGTCACTGCTCTGCAGCGCGGCGCGCAGGTCCTCCACCAGCTCGCGCAGGCTGCTGTTCTCCTCCTCCAGCCGGGCCACGCGCTCGCCCTCTGCGCTGCCCTCAGAGCCGCCGTCGGGGCCGGGCGCGCGGAGCGGG